TACATTTGATAAGAAGATACATATGATTTTCGACACATTTATCATTTTCATTTTGCTCTTTGCGTGTACCTCATGCTTAAAATTTTAGTCAAAAAGTGTGCGCATTTTGAATATGGATGAGTAAAGAATCAAATTTTTGATTGGAACTCAAAAAAATCATACTCACGACTTTACTACCATACAACTCATCAGTGGGTTATGGCACACAAATTTATTATAACTCACATGATTCTCTCGGAAGATGTAAACAAATTGTAGAAGAAATTGTGTTAAAATATTGAGGTATGCTGTTTTAATTGTTATAATTGAAATTTCATTGTGTTAAATGTAAATAAGTTGCTTGAATGTAAGTATTACACATTTCATTCTATACAGTTTGATATTGTATGTGTTTTTCTAATTAATTTCTTTTCGTGAAATAATATAGTCACTGGAAGAAATAAAACATTCCGTAGATAATACCTGTTGAAAATCAATATAACTCTAAGTAAATCGCAATAAAGTCTTACTGAAATTAAATTCAATTTATAACAAAGATAAAAAGTAAAAAACAAAAAGAAATAAAATTTTGTTTATTAATAAGGAGGTAAATATGTAATTTAAATTCCCATGACATACATATGGACAATTTCGAGTCAAGTGACCCAACTTTTAAAAGGTGAAAATGAAGTGCCAAATATTGAAAAAAATTTTATTTTTAAGTTAAAACATAATTTTTTGAGTTCCTTAAAGGAAATTATATAAGCTTTCATCTGAAAAACAAATAAAAAAAATATTTAAAAAAAAAATATTTTTTTTGGAAACAATAAAGAAATAGCTATCTGAACTCCCTTGGACAATTTTTGCTAGGACCAATAGATGAAAGTTACACTCATTTGAATAAAACCTTGTATGACCAAAATGTCCAACTTTGACCCACTCTCAGTCTGGCAGTTCTTGACCGATAGAGCTGAAAACTTGTGTCTGGCCTACTATCCAATAGTACTAACTATGGTGCAATAGATTTTTTGATTTGGGTCACTTGACACGAAATAGCCCATATACAAAATTAATTTATATATCAAGACTAAATGATCAATTGACTGAACTTTAAAGCGAAACCGACAAATATTTTTTGAAACTTTCACACTAACTTTAATTTTCATTGAAATTTTTGTTTCTTAAAAACAATGTGTGTAATAAAAATTACAGAACACAACACCCAGGGGTGAAATTTATTTAATAAATATTGTTCATGAATGTTTTTTAAACAAAACCATTCACATGGGTTTGAATCTGTGTGCGCACACACACACAAATACAAACTCTTATATAAATTTAAGTCTTACCTCAATCACAAGCTTTAGTTCCCAATAAACACATAAGTGTCGTTAGAACAACTATTTCCTACGATATTTAAGCAATTTTGAATTTACATTACTTAATCATTATTTGAATTTTAAGTTCTCAAATCTTAAATGTATCTTCATATACGAAAAATATCGTACATTGTACGAATCTTTCGTTGTTTCGCACATCGAAATTCTTTCGTAATATATACAAATTGTATGAAATATTTTAGTATAAAGCAAAATAATCTTGAAAAAATGAATTTACATAAATTAAAAAAAGTGAATTTTGAATAAATATGGTAAAATTTACGAATTATTAATTTGTGCAAACATTTTTGTTCATTTTAAAATAATTTTTCTAATTTTAGTTAAAAATTATTCTCCACACGAATTTTTGATTTTAAACGCCATGTTATTAAGATATTTTTAATTCGATTTCAATCCCAAATTTTTGTTGGGTTAATTACATACATACCTATATATATACATATGTACATACATATGTATGTATGTATGTATTTCTATGCATCGGTGTATATGAATATGTGTTTATAATGTTGTTGCTGGGTTTACACATGAATTTATGAGGTTATAAAGTTAAATTGTTGGGGGTATTTGTTTATTAACAAAATAAAAAATTAAACAAAATGTAGAAAATAAAATAAACAAAAACAATATTTTTATATGAAAAGAAAATTCAATATTTGAAAAATATGCCGTTTTAATTCTTTAATGTGAATATGGAATGTTTTGAAATTTAAGGTGTGTTTGTCCGTTTGTTTGTTTATTTATTTGTTTATTTCCTTTGCCTTTTTCTTCTCTGATTCATTTATTTTTTCTTTTTTTGTTGATATTGTACGAGTACACAGGTAAACATTTATAAACCTTTTTGTTTACTTTAAAAACTTGTAAGATGAAAGGAAGGCTTTTGAAAAAGCTGAGATACAGAGCAAAAAAGAAAGCAAGAAAAAACATTAACAGATACAAATACATTCATATATTATGGTGCATGTGTTCTATTTTTTTCTTTTTATTTCGTTTTTAGGTAGTGGTAGTTTTTATGTTTTTAGTTGTTTGTATTTCAATTGAAATGTTTTTTTTTTGTGTGTTCATTTTGCATTTATTTTCTTTGTATTGAAGAGTGTAAAAGCGTTGTAAATCTGGTTTACAGGTATTTTATTCAATTTATTATCTACACTCATACATGCATGTATGTATATTAATCCTGTGCTTCGATGAATAGGACATTTGTAATATGTCAATTTGAACGAAACATACATATTCTATCAATAATTGCAAAGTTGCTTAATATCTTTATATTTTCGTATTAAGAATAGGTGTATTTTTTCGGATTATCCTCCGTTTAACCTAACTTAAGGTTATTTTAGATTAATGAAATATTCGACGAAAATGACGTGGCCACTCTAAAATCATATACATACATTACAGTTCATATTACGGGTAAAATAATTTTATGATTATTTTTTTTGGACTATTTTTCTACATTGTCATTTTAATTAAGCAGTAAAAAGTTGTTATTAGAGTAGGTCAGTCTCACAAAAATATAAAAAAATATTTTTTTGCCACTCCAAATACCGCCCTTTTTGTCCTTTTGTAAAATCCGATAGATACAAATCTCAGAAGCATTACTTCTTTCTTAAATGTTTTTTTTTTTTATTTTAAGTCAAATTCTATGAGTTACTTCTGCTATATCGGATCCTTCTTCTAAATCGGTATTAGTTTAGAAATATGCATTATATGAAACTTTTGTTTTTAAAATATGTATTTGCTTTTTTTCATAAATTGCTATTTTACAGATATTTAAAAATATTGAGATGTTTATTTAAAAGTGCCATTTTTCGTACGTAATTTAATATTATTTTCCATTGTAAGATGCATACATACAAAGATATGTGCTTGTATGTTTATAAAAATCTGAATATTTTTAAATATCTGTAAAATTGCCATTATTAAATAGAAGTGAAAATTTGAACACTTAAGGTTTTATATAATTCAAAAGGTCTTTGTGTAAGTTTTCACACTAATATCGATTTAGAGGAAGTAACTGGGATATCAGAAATAACACCGTCTTTGCTGAATTATTAAAGTTGGATGCTTTCTAGTATCTAAAATCAATTAGAGCAACATTTGAGGTGTGAATCGTATGAATCCCTGAGGCAAGTTATTATAAGGGCAGGTCTAATATTCATTTGTATACATTTAAATTTATACTTTCATAGGTATACGTATATGTATGTATTTTTACGTTAATGTTTACGTTAATACACACATATGCAAAAATAAACAAGTTTTGTGTAAGTATAAATCAAAGTATACTTTTAGGCTTTATGACAGAATTGTATTAAATGAATGATAAAGAATGACGTGGAGAGAATTTAATACACATACTACAAAGTACATTCATATATAATCACATATGTACATACAAACATACATATGTATATATGAACATGAATCGACACCTTAGAATTTTTATTTCTTTATTATCCTTGTGTACATACATATATACACAAGTTAAATCTGTGGATCTATTTGCTTCTTCGTTATGCAAACGAATAAATAAACAAATCATACATTCAAAATCTTTAGATGTTAAACGAACTTAAATGTGTAAATAATTTAATTTGAATACAAGTTACGCCCATTACATTTTAAGCTTTTTGTTGAGTTCAACATCGCCTGATGGCTTTAAAATTTAACTGTTTTTGCCTTCGTATATAATAAATATTGGTTAGCTGCTAAAGTCTCTAAAGACTAAACACTAACCCCAATATTCATAAAAGTTTAATAAAGTTTTCGATGATTTATTGCAGGAATTTTGTCCGTAATAAACCTAAAGTAAACGATTAATATATTTATGAATACAGGAGTAAATAAATAAAAAAAAGAATAAGAAAATTTATAAGCACATGAAATTGAAAGGAAATATAAATCATGTGTACTTTGTTCCTTTACAATATTAACACAAGCTCACACATATAGTTATACAAAACTTCCGTTAAATATAAAATTGCGTAATGCGAAATTAAAAATAATAATTTTTGAATTATTGCAGTTAAGAACTTAATGGCAAAGTGATATAAACAAAAACTTAGCAAAAAAAAGTAGTCTAAAATTTAACCATAATAACATATATTTAATGAATCTTAAAATTTTTACAAGAAATTTAAGTTTGTATAACTTAAATTACAGTTGTAAAGTTTTTATTTGTTGCCAATTTGTAAGATGTTAACAGGTCATTTAAATACAAACACAATTTTTTACAATATAATTAATGCTTACAGAAAAAATATGTCACATTATTATAAAAAATATTAAAATAAAAAAAGAAAACTAATATACATAAGTGTGCTTTTTCTTAAATTTTCTGGAAACCCCATTTCATCCCTTCATAACAAATGAACAAGTATTTCAAAGTAAATTAATGAAAAACAAACTTGTTTTTATAATCTTTTTAAAGCTAGATTCCAGCGAAAAAGAAACAAAATTTGAACGTTATTAAAAAAATAATCAAATATTGTAAATTATTAAAATCATGTAAATATCTTAAACAATCTAAAACGAAATACAAACAGTTTTAAACAACACAACACAATACAACATCCAAATCTACTAAGTAGATGTTGAAAGTTGAGAGTGAAAAGTTGAAAAAAAAAAAAAATAAATAAATATAAAAGGGAAACGAAACGAAAAACAAAAATAAATTGCTTAATAAGAAAGCCATGTTGTTGTTGAGTGCTGTTATAAAATAAAGCTTTAATTCAAACACGAAATAAAAAATTTTAATTTAATTATGGACTCTCTGGAACGTATAATGCGTGCGGCTCCTTTGCCGCGCGCTTTAAGTGTTAACTCAGCAAATACAAAAGGACAACAACGTGCTCTGGTTCATGCCTCCTTGGCTGCTGCTACTGTTGGTCGCAAAGGTAGACATTTAACGGGTACGTTTTGTCTAACCGGCGACACAATGGAGGGTATAATCCAATGCTTAGTCTTCCTGAAAGCATTTTCGGTGAGTATAATTGCAAGATGTTGAAATAAGTTCTTTAAAAAATAATATAAAATGTAAATACATGTAAACATAAAAATTAAAATTAAAATAAGTAAAGTTACTTCCACAATTAAGGTAGAACCCACCAAATCGAACAATTTTTAATCGTTGATATCTGCAAAACTAATTGCCCAATCAAAATAAAATAAATAAATAAATAGATGTTTAATTATTAATTGGGTTTTGAAAAAATGGCTTCAGGGCTTATTCGGAGAAAACATATTTTGCACGGATATGATTAAAATTAAGGTTCTTCTATATGTCTGATATCAAAAAACGTTAAATTATAATATTTCATGATAGGAAAAATTATTAAAAATACTAAGTAGTATCTGTCCACATTATTGTAAATATAAAAAAGTCCACATTTTCAAAGAAGTATTTGGTTAAGGGAGCATTTTGTTCTAATGTGGAAAAATCAAAACCTCTTTTTACAAGTGTCAAAATAAATGGTAAAATTTATGGAAAATATGATTTCACACTACAAAACCCGTTATTATGGCCAGACCTAGCCAGTAGCCATTAAGCAACGGACGCAATTAAATGAACTTTGAAGAAAAATGAATTGAAATGAACAAAAAAATTTGATTTTGTAATAAAAAAAATATTCCCTCAAATTGACGTTTAATAAAAACTTTAAAATATCTTATCTAAACGGCGTTTCAAAACCAAATTAACAATTAAAAATCTTTTTATTGGATTTAAATTAGTAGATTATAGGCTATTCAATTTTAAAATGTTATTTTAATGGGTCAATAAGTTTTGAAGATATAAACGATTAAAAATTGTTCGAATTTGGTGGGTTATAAAGGTATATATTCCTACTTTTAACTATTTCAAAGAATTAAAACTTTTGTTTACTTGAAATATAATTGTCCAATTCACAATCGGTAGTGTTTTAGTTTGAAAAAATTTTGTTTGAACAAATTTTATGACATACAACCACAACCACACGACATCGATTGTGAATTGGACAAATATTTTTGTTTTTTTTTTTCTGGCTAATTTTTATTTCATAATACTCTTTTAATAGCTTTTTATTTTTTGTGGAAACGTCTCACAACATTGTATACTAAATTTAATAGATTGTAACCACGATTTTACCCATATCAACGTCGTTTTCTATTTATGGAGATTGTTAGAATTCTTCAATCTAGAATTAACATATTATAAGTGAATTTAATCATACTGTTCACTCTGAAAGCAACACTCTAGTGTATACCACTCCCCACCCCCAAATTTGCACATTATTTGATAACCTTTTTTGCTTCCACAAAAAAGGTAAAAGATTAAGTCATGCATAGTTTAAGGTCACTTTTATATAATGAAATTGAAGCATACCTTTGGTTTCTTAGTCTTAAGAAAATGTGTATACCATAAGGATGTACAAAGGAATAAATAAAGCTTTGTCGATATATCTGAACAAAAATTGGAATGTCAAGTGTAATATTAATTGATACTTTTTAATCACTATTACCCGTAATTTAGTGTCAAGTGACTTAAAAAATCGATTTGGAAGAAAAGTTAGTACTATTCACTTTGTACTACTTTACACTAATATTCAGCTCTATCGGTGAAGAACTTCCGGAGTAGGTCAAAGTTAAAAATGTTGGTCATACAAGGTTTTATTCAAATGAGTCCTAGCAAAACTTGCCTAAAGGAATTCAGATAGCTATTTCTTCATTGTTTCCAAAAAATATTTTTTTTTTCAAAAAACTCCCTTTTTTCTTTAAGGGCTAGGTTCTAATTCTAAAACGATGTAGACATGTTTGTCTGCCTGTCTCTTGAAAGCACGACAGGACCTAAACAAGAGGAGGTAAAGAGACAATTTTCTTAAAAATTCTCTATTGTTGCAGTTTGAAAAAATAGAAAAATGTTCGTGTTCACCGAATTTTGAAAACCGAACAAGGTTCGGGTTCGGCCGAACTTAAAAATTTACCGAAGTTCGAGTTCGGTACCGAACGAAATTTTGAGTTCGGTCGGACTCTAGCATTAATGTACGAAAACCCGTTTTTACCCGTATTTTGAAGGTGTTGGCAAGTTTTATTTATATTTTATTAAAATATTCGAATAAAAACTTTTATTCGTTATTCGTTCGAATAATCGAATAATTTTTAAAATTTAATTTAACTACTCGAATGAAAAAATATTGTAAATTTTTATTCGAATAATTTTAAACACGAATAATTGACAACTGTAGTGGCCATGTTAAAAGCAGAGTTAAACTTTTTAATTCACCTGTTCATTGTCGAATTTGTTTATGAAATTTTAGAAATATTTATATCGTACGCTTATTACGCAAACGTGACAAATCATATTTTGTAAATTTTACAGGAGAAGCAAAAACCTTCATAACTTTTCTTGTTTTCCATATTTTTAAAATCTATAAACGTGGTATTCTTCTTATATTTCTTATCATATTTCTTTTTTACATGACTAATTAATGCGTTTATTATAGCAAATTGTAAAGTGTTAACTCTTTTTTCTTTGTATATTTTTATTATTTTGAAGACTAAGCAAAGACTTGATCTTTACATAAGGAATACACCGAAATTATTGTTAAATAAACTGCCGTTATATTCATTGAGTTTTATTAAAAAAATAAAAATAAATACTATTTTAAAATTTTGTTGATTGAGGAAATAATTATTTATTGAGTTTTATTTTCTTTTAGAGAATAATTGTTATTTCTTGAAAGGTCAACATTTTTATCATTCATATCGGATGTATGAAAACATCCGATATGAACGATACAAAAAAATGTTATATTTTGAGCGCAAAATAATAACGATTATTTTCTGATGGAGAAATAAATCTTGAGAAATAATGACTATTTTTTACTCAATAAATAAAACTCAAAAATTGTTTTTTCTATAATAATTAAATAATAAAAAATATTTATATATGTTTATGTACACGTACATATATTTAAGTTAAAAAAATGATCTGCATTTTCCGCTTTCCCATTAATATGGTATTTTAGACATTTCGTAGCTGTGTTATGTAATTTTCAGTGTAATTCATTTTCCACCCAATACCCAAATAGTTTCAACTGTCATAAATGACTAAAACATAATATCCTTTCTTTCAATTAAGAAGTTAATTTCCTGTAAAACTACAACAGTTTTGCCAATTCAGCGAGCACAACATAGGTTTGCAATCAATAATTTTTAATAATCGATCATTTTTCGTTTACATTAAATAAATTATTTATGTATATGGGTGATTTCATGAAAAGTGACCACACTTTTGAAAACAAAGTCTTCCGATCAAGATGATGATTAAATTAAAAAACCTTTGTCTTGAGTTACAAATTGATAGGGATATATATCCCAGTCGCATCGCACAAAGCGACCAATTATAATAAAACAAAATTTATGTAAATGCGCTAATATTTAAATTAAATCATATTTTAAATAAGCTCCTAATTAGTGTAGGGTGTCATATCGTCGACTATTCCCGACTATACTTTCTTCTTTTAATTCGCATATATGTTGTTTAAATGGAGCTCGTAAGTTTTTCCACTTTCAGAAATTTAAACATATTCCTTAGGCTTTATAATTATTGTCATTCTCGAGATCGTGTTTCCGTTAAATTGATATTAGAGTACATAAAGCGGTGGTACATTTTTCATTTTTAGTGCATAAAAATCCTTGCCTTAGTTATTACATCGACTGAATCGTTTTCGAGTATTCATTTTGATACAAATTTGATGAAGGTTTTATTCGAATTTAAGATGATTTGGGAGAAACAAAGGATTTTGAGGTTAACAAAAAAACTTCAATAATTTATCCTAATTTTCACAATGTCTTGTTATATTTAAAAAATTCGATAAATCGAATAGTTAAAAAGTAAAATAATTATTTGTCGAATAAACCGATTAAAATAAAAATGCTAGTAAATAAGTTTCATAGATACAACAGGTTCAATCGAAATTTTTGTGAAAAAAACAGGAAAAACTATTTGATTAATTTGATTGTTGAATGGACATTTTTGATATTGTTTTGCTTAAAATTAATTAAAACATAAACAAACAAAAGTCATTTGTTCAATTCACAATCGATGTTGTAGCGTTGTATGCGTTGTATGTCAGCAGCTGCTACAATAGTCATAACAATGTTGTTGGTATTTTCTATGCAAAAGCTCTATACAACTCCTATGACAATTTTTCATATGTTTTTCGAATGTTGTAAGAAAGTTTAGTGTTGCCAAATGTTTATTTCAACATATAGACAAAAAATTCAAACGATTTTAGCATAAAAAACGATAAAGTGGTAACACTGAAATCAAAAACAAACAGCTGTTTACCAAAACAAAAGAGCTAAAATTTAATTAAAAACTGTTTATTTATTAGTTTAAAATGTGGAATAAAGAAAATAAAAGAATTGAAAATTCAAAGAAATTAATTTGGTTTATTTCGCATGTTTAATTAATTTAATATTTTTTGATTTTTTTATCTTTTGACATTGTTATGTATATTTGTTTTGATTGTTTTTTTTTTTTTTTTTCATTGAGAACATAAACTTATGACTTGCTGCAAAGATCTGTTCACAATCAATGTTACTACACTTTAGTAGGTACAATATACAACTTGATTGTGAATTGAACAATTGTATTAATGATGTTATACGTATGTGAGGCATATAAGGGTTAATGTACCCAATAACCATAGCTTTTAAGATCAGGAAGAAACTGGTGACAACAACACACTCCTGATTGTAAAGTAAAGTAAAACAAAGCTCAATTGAGGTAAACAAACGGAAAATGTAAATGTAGAGTAACTAACTTCTGCTTTAAGAAATGAGATGGTGTCATACGATAACCTGCAACTTCATTTTAAAACACAATAAGAAAAAGAAGCACAAGAAAGAAGCAGCCAACGAAACGGAAGTTTCAACAAGAGTCTTAACAAAAAGCTTGTCTAAGCAGAACATCATCTGAGCAATAACACTCCCAGGCAT